CAGATGTGTAAATGGAGAGTAGTTGAAGATTAGGTACAAGTAGGTTAGGTCAAATCGAAAATCCTGCATTCTTTGACTCTGTCCTCTATACAGGGATGTCAGTGAAAATGAGAAGGAACATTGAGAAGACTATAAGGAGAAAGCCCAGAACTTGGCAATTAAATGTCAGGGTTGAGAGGAATTGGAAGATTTTCAGTGAGGAATCAAGTGTTATTATTACTAATAGGAAATTCAGAAAGAAGAGCTTGAATTAAGCAATGCGAGATTCCCTGAAACTTTCTAAAATCTCCCAAATTCTCAGTGTGACTCCTGACTGGGCGGTACTTTCCCTGTAGTCCTCCTTTGATTGTTGGGCCTGGCAGGATGAAATCAAATGTGGAAGGGCATTAGAGATCATGAGGTCAGGGGGCTAAATCTCTTCATTTTACAGATAAGGAAATGGTAACTTCCCTTAAGGCCACATAACTAGGCTGACCTATTGGCACTATTTTCTGAAATTCTTCTAGCAAGGTTACTGTGTTTCAGTCTTGCCTGTAAGCAAAGAGAGCCTTGGGTTCCTCTCCCTGCCCCAACATAATAATTCAATCTATTATAGACTTCATTCCTCAAACTGCTTTACACATCCCAAACTCAAATAACTAAAATGATTCCTTCTAGGTGATCTGTTTTCCTGTCTGCATAGATGTAGTCAAAAATCTTGTAGTAGTACATTATGGGCATTAGTGCCAAACTCGGCCTGGGTGTAATGGATCTGCTCTCTTGAAAATGCCTAAACTGTTTGAGGGGAGAGGAAATGATTAACATTAATTGAAACCTGGGATGAGGATTCTTACTGGGAGTAATTTCCACAATTGTTATCGAGGATGTATAATGGCAGTCAGTAAAGGAACTGCTTCCTTTGCCCCTTTAAACCCAGTTCCCTATGACTTCTCATGCATGGATCCTGAATTCATGTGGGACTCCTACTTTGTCCTAGGAGAATGAGATTGTGCCAATGCCTTTATTAAATTAACTCTGTTCCAAGCTGTTATCCATTTTTTAAAAAAGATTTATCTATTTATGCATACAAGAACTGGAGTATAGGCCAGAGGTGTGTGGGGGGGAGGGGGATGGGGTGAGACGATCCACCAGAGACAGAGTGCAGAGCAGAACAGGCAGACTGACTGAAACACACTGCTGAGGGGAGCAACAGGCAAGTCAGGAGAGGTCTGCTGCACCATGTGGGTAGCTCCCTGGTCGGGGATCGAACTCGTGCTGCAGTGGCTGCGGATAGCTTCATAGGCTGCGCCTTAACCCCCTGCGCCACCAGGGAGGCCTGATGTTACCCATTTCTTTTCTTTTTTTCTTTATTTGATATATTTTTTACATCATTTTTCATTTTTGCACAATGTATGCATTTTCATCTTGGTTATAGTCCCCATACAATTCCAACCCCCCTTATTTTGACCCTAAACCCTTCCCTCCTCCCCTCCGTGGTGTGTCTCTGGTTTATAGTTGCTTGTTGATTTTGATTTTTACTTCATTATAATTAGTCTTTTTCCTGGTCCCTTATTTAGGTTTTCTAAATTCCTGCTATGAGTGAGACCAACGATGTTACCAATGTCTACACCTTAGTTAGAATCCAAGAATCTTAGAGTGCCTTCTTTTTCCTTTCCCAAGCCCTTTTCCTCATTTTATCCCAAAGTGGCCCGGCTCCCTTTCCCTTTACACCCACACTAGCCTCACCTTTACCTATCTTGGGCCTCCGGGGGCCACACCTAGCCCGCTTCAACTCTCCAGTCTCGCGCCCCCTAGCGTGCCGGGGGCGGGGCCGAATGAGCATAAGCCCCACCCTTCTGTTTGGGCGGGGCCCGCGGAGACAGGGCGCCATTGATTGGTTAAGGCGCAGCCTGTTGCGGGGGCAGGGCCCGGAGTTCGGGCCGGGGCTCCGAGCGCGGCGGGCGCCGCTGGGGGCGGGAGGCGTGGCGCGTGGCGCGGGTCCCAGCCGAGTGTGGCGCAGCTGAAGCTGGGTTTCCCGCTCGCCACGCGCCGGGCGTGGGTCGGGGTAGGTAAGTGTGGGAGGGGTCCCGGAGCCGTGCGGGGTCAGGTGAAGGGCTCCCTGGGGTTCACCGCAGGCAGGTGTACATTGGAAAGGCAGGCCCCGGTGCAACTTAGCGAGGAAGGCGCTTGGGGCGCCGAGGGCGGCCCCCTGGCGAGAAACCCCAGCGGGAGGGAGACACCAGGTCGGATTCCAGCTTTGCAGCACTCTTTTACGGCTTTAGCTCGCGGAGAGAAAACATGTACGTTGCTTTACACACCTCCTCCTTAAATCTCAAGAAATCTCAGGTACTGTAGAGATTTTATATTCTTTAACATTTATTTCTAGTTTGTGACTCAGAATTGGAGGAGAAACCGGATAGTGACTTGCGGTAAGGCTTTATTTTGACTTAGTGTTATTACTTTTGCAGGAAGGGTGCGACTAGTAATGGGACTGTTATTTAAACAAGGACACCAGGGTTTACATAGGCAGTGTGTCATGGGGATAAAACCAGCAGAGTGCTTGGTTTTGGCTGTTTTTATTAACTGTGAAAACTTGGTCAATTTGCTTGCTTTCTTTATGCTTTTGTTTCCTCGTATTTAAAATGGGAATAATGATAGTTCAAAGCTTTCAGGATTGTTGCAAGGATTAGATGAGTTAGTATTTAGTGCCCGGCACATTGTCTTTAATAATGTTGGCTATTTTTATTATTATTATTGTGCACTCACGTGAGCATTATTCTTAAGTGTTGTCACTAAGGGAAAACCTTTCTGCAGAGCTGTTGCTTAAATAGTTTTGAAGGACTTGGTCTCACTCGATAAGGTCTCATTACTTTCTGTAGTACTAAAGGTATTATCTATTGTGATCTCGTTCCATATCAAATCCCCTCTAAAATAATAGAGAAACTTAAGTACCTTGAAGGTTGTTCTAAAAAAGAGATTAAAGAGGCATTGCCTTTGGAGTATGTAGCCTCATTGTAAGCACCACGTAGGTTTAAAATAAGTTCATTTGACTTTACACAGAAGTTAGAAGTTGTGCTATTTGGGATGGTGCTTATCTGTACTATTATTGGAAAACTAGATAAGCCTGGTACCCAAATATATAAATAAGCTAGGTCTTATAGGAACCATAACTTGTCACATAAAATCTCAGAATTGAAAGGAATCTGAAAAATTAAACCAGCTGCCCTTCACAGGTAAGGTTGAGGCCCAAAGACTCATAACCGATAAATGGCAAAGCTCCTCTAGAATTCAGCTCTGATGAACAAGTTATAAAATCGAAGGATGATGTTGCTTTTCTGCTTTTTATTATAGTACTATTTTTATTTTTGACAGTTTTATGGTGCGGTGAATGGTTTTTCTCTCAGCAACATCCTGCTTGGTAGCTTAATTGTATGATTCATAATCATTCTCAGCACCTTTGATTTAAATCACAAGTCTTAAAGTTGCTACATCAATGATTGCTTTGAGAAGAAGATGATTGTCTTGGTAAGCTTTGTGCAAACATGTTCTAACAGTGCTTTGGTTTTAAAGTGCAGCCCTTTCTCCCATGTAGGGAATATAAACAGCCAGAATAAACAAAGTGACACACTAGGTAGTTGGTTATCACTTTGTTATTGGTGAAGTGTTCTTAATTGGGAAGAAAACAATCAGGAAGTGTAACACTGAATGCTAGCCCAAGGATATAGGACTGGGTCACTTAAGAGATACGTTGCAATTGCTGCTCACTTCAAAAGCATCATGGAGTGAAATTATTTGTAGATACTGGTATGTTAGTTGCTGACTGTACCCTGGCTCCTTGTATAGCTCACTCCCTTACCTCCAAGTATTTGTTCAGATGTTAGCATCTCAGTCTGGGCCTTCTAATTAAAATTCCATACAACCTCAATTCTTCCTGTAATACATGTTTGTTTATTTAATTGTTCAATATCTGTTGCCTGCCAGTGAAGGGTGAGTTCCATGAAGGCAAATTTGCTTGTTAGTTGTGTTCACTGCTCTATCATAAATGCCTAGGAATAATATACGACACTGTTTGGTTTCAAATTCATAGAGCTGATGTGGACGTTTCCAGTTAGGGTAGTAATTACTAAAGTCAAATCACTGTCTTTTCAGCTTGCTTTTTCCCCCTCACCCCTCTAGTTGTATCTCCTGGTTACCCAGGAATAAAACCTTGAGGCAAAGTTAATTCCTCCTTCTACCTTGTGTTCCACATGCAAATAACTACTAACTTATTTTTCTTGTTAATTTTTTCCAAACCTGTCATTCCTATTGTCAAGCTTCTGTTTCTTTAAACCCTCCTTCATTTTATTCTCTAACACCTACAACCCTGCAAGTTACATTTTCAAATGCCTTCACATCATCATCTGCAAAATGAAATCCGAAATGAGAAGCCTTGCATTCGAATATTTCTACATGATCTCACATTCCCTCTTCCAGCCTCTATTTCCTATTTGTAAGAAGAGTGATTCCTACTTTTGCTTATAAATGCAGAAGCAAAATTAGACATTAATGATAATACCCTATAAAATTCCATGGTAAGTATTGCTTCCTGACAGTTTCTTCTTCAGTTTTTATTATTAATGAGTGGGTCTTTCCCCCATGTGGGCAGGAATTCAGGAAAACTGGACTGGTGGTCATTACCTGTTTGTACTGAGGATTTTGGCTTCTCTTTTTGAGAACCCAGCCTTCAAAACCTCCCTCACATGTCACTACCATCCCAAATACTGAGTTAAGTTCAGTTGAAAGTGTTTTTCTTCTGAATTTTAGTAACTCTTCATACCATTCTTAGAGAATTTGTCATAATCTACTTTTAACTGTAATTCTTTGGGCATTTATCTTTTCTTTGCTGCTGAAGGACAAGAAACACATAGATTCCAGCTACTTTTTAAGGAAAAATAAGATGACTTCTACTTAACTTTTTTAAATAAAAGTGATTTTAACAGATCTTTAAATTATTAACTATTGAGCTTCAACAGTGAAATCTGCCATAGACAGTTTAAGAAGGCGGGGGGAAAGTTGTAAGTGAAGATATTGAGATCTGGATTCATAGAAGGGAGTAGGTGTAGATAGGAGAGCAACATATTCAACACCCCCATTGATGGACAGGCAGAAAGTTAAAACAAAATAACACAGTGAACTCACTCAGGAAACCACTAGGACACAACACACTATGGAGTAACATCTGCAGCTTTGAGTTTTCTTGTGAGGTATTATTCATAAACATTGTTTTGTTTTTACATCTCTAGGCACAAATGTCTCCCTGCTTTGTTTTCTAAGCTGGATAGGACTGAATGTTCTCTTCCTCTTTCTGTTCTGCAGAAAGTAATTTACCTTTTTTCTTTGTTGTTTAAAAAAAAAAGTTCATATTGCTTAAATTATTTTCCTAGCTATACTGAGATACACATCAGAGCTTTTAGTTCTTCAGAGAAGGTGGTGGCTATAAGATAATTGAGTTTATGTTAAAGCTTCCAGTTTTATTAAGTTTGATGTCAGCATTTGATTTACTGTATTGTTTTGATGTTTTATAAACATATCTTTGTATGTATTCCATCCAATTGAGCGAATGTTTTTATTTTTCTTGAAATTTTTTCCTGGTTGATTAACTATTACATGTTTCTAGAACTTGTGTAGACATTTTTTTCCATTTAATTTCATGTTTTCTTCTTTCCTACTGCCTTCCAATTCTCAGCTGAAGTTTTCCCATTCTAGGGCATTCTAACCTAACTTACTTTACTTTGTCCTTGACTTTTAGTACTTACAGGTATAGTCTTAACCATTGCTGGGTAAGAAACTTCAGTGATGAAGCTGTAGTTTCTCTCAATAGGAAAGAGTTGTTGGGGGAAAAAAATACATATATACTGATTTTTGAAATGTTAAAACTTTAAGGTGAAATTGTACAGGTTAACTGTACTAATAATGTAGGTATGGCATAGAGTTAAAGCTTATGTACTATAATTTATTTTTGTACTATGATTTAAATATGTAATTGGTTATAATTTTTGTCCTTTGGGAAATTTCTTTTAATGTGCTTACCAATAAAGTTTCATTCTTAAAAGAAGAATATTGAAAACAAATATTTGCTTTGGAGTAGTTTCCTTTATCACACTGTATACGCAACTGTGTTTACTAAGTTCTTGTTTTTAAAAACCTTAGCTAAGGATGTTTAACAGATAGTATCATTCATACAAATAATAAAAGTTAGGGCACAGACTGATTCCATATCTCTAGCACTGGGTAATCGCTATAGATAAGTATCTGTAAAGTAAATATATATTTTTAGGGGAGATTTTTGTTAATATACTGCAGCATATTAGTTTGTATAATAATGGGATTAATCTAGTAAAGAGGGATAAATTGATGATTCACGGGACTGTTAAAAGAATGAAGAGCCAGGGGTACCTTTGCACACTTTGGCAAATTGAAATTTCTAAGTGTGCGTCTCCTCCTGTTCGTAGAACTAATAAATTAAACAAACACATATGGGGCCTACTAAGTGCATGACAGTGAGTAAAGCACAGTTACTGTGCTGTAGTCAGGGAGTTCTCAGTGAACAAGCAAAATGCACTCCTAGTTGATAATTGTTAAAAGGGAAAATACCAGGATGATGACAGAAGATTAATTTGTGGAAGAAGCACTTTAGTTAAGGTGATTATGAAGACTTGGAAAAAGTGGCATTTGTACAAAGGCCACTGGTGGAATGCAGCTGGAGAGATACAAAGAGATTAGACCATGTAGGTGGTTGTAGAAAGTTAGCAATAATTTAGAATTTGGATTTTGTTCTAGGGGCAGTAGGAAGCCATGGAAAAGGTTGAAGTAAAGGAGTGAAATGATCATATTTACAGTGATTTAAAAAAGTACTCTCGGTCTTAGATTGTAGAGATACTAACCTAGAGGTTCTCTCAAGAGACATGATGTGAAAATGTGTTGGTGATTGTTTTCTCTTGGGGGGTGGGGGTCGGTTGGTTTGATGCTCCTCAATCTGAATTATCCCAGTTTTCCAGTCACTACCAGCTTTTCCTCTGCTTCCTAGGGCCTGCAGTATTTTATCACTGCTAGTTCAGTGTAAATTCCCCCTTCACCCTTCTCTTGCCCATCCACCCATCACTCTGCCAGTGATCACAGTCCTCTAGAAATCATCCTTGGGAGTACGCTGTGGTCATATGTATCTAGAAGATACCTTCAAATGTGCCTCCCAGTGGAAAAGATTGGGAAGCTGGAATTACAACAGGCTTTCTGGTGATAGGGATACCAAGAGTGTGATGTTGGGAGGCTCAGAAGGATAGAACAGAATATGGCTGCTCCAGTGCTCATTCCTACATGATCAGTTTTGGAACCAGCAGAGGGACACGTTATCAGTTGGAGCAAATTGGGACCTTCCTCCTTATCCTGGCAGTTTTGACTCTATTATTGGAAAACAAATAAATGTCAGCATTTCTACCTCATCACTCAGTCCCCTCCTTAATTGTCTATAATTAGGGTGTAGCCAGCCTGTTTTAGGGAACCAACAGACTTACATATAGCTTTTGTGGAGGTTCTTGGGCACTCCTGTGAAGCTATTGGTTGCAAACTCTTCTATACTGTGTCTCATCATTTAACATTGTGCACATTTTATTTTAAATTCTCATAGAACTTTATCAAGAATCAGGATGAATAAAAAGCACCTCAAATAAGAGCTGTGATAAACCTAGGGAAAAGTAGTACTTTCGTGATTACAGAATAATGAAAAATCAGGGAGGGTGGAGTGGGAATTAGAGGAAGGATATATTATTAAGGAAGGAAAACAGGAAAAGTTGTAACTGATTTATGTGATGTGTGTGGGGAGAAGGTTGCTGTGTATCTTCCCTTGGCAGAGCCTGGTAGTTTTTTGGGGGGTGGTTTTTTTTTAATCTCTAAAAAATGCAATGCAGTGAACTTAATTTACAGATGGGACAAAGATGTGCTTTGTTTCTATTGAAACATTTTGGATATTTTTGGAATTAGTGTTCTGAGAGGCGGAAATAGCTACAGATTACATATTATTACAGTAGACTTTCATGAAGTAACCAGTTAGTTTAGGGTAAGAATATCCTGGGAAGGTACTTTTAATGTAGTTTTAAATACAACCAACCCATTGGGTTTGTTCCCTCCTCTGGAATAAGAATAATTCCTGTCCCCACCTTGACTTTTCTACCAGATTCCTTTTCTTATTTTCTGGGTCATTCACCATTTCCCAAACCAGTTCCCATATCAGAGCCCAAGGTCATAGTATCAGTTGTCTTTTGTCTCTCCCTTTACTAGATCTGTCAGTTCCTTCCTTTGGAACCTTTGTTCCCAAACACCCAGCACCCTATCTTTTTGGAATAAACTTGTTCTTAATTTCCCTTTATGATTTGGCTTGTATGACTGACCCCCTCTCTGTAGTAGTAGTTAAGAGTCTACTTATGAATATATCTACCTTATGATTTGGGTAGGGTTCACTAGCCAATAAATACTAAACAATCTTTATGATGTGTGAAGGAAATGAATTCAGAACCTCTCTGCTTATATTTTCGAGATAAAAGCAGAAAAGTCTTTTGGGCTGCTTATAAAATGTTTTGGGCTGTCTAAAAGAAGATGTACAATATCAAGAAAATAATTGCATCCAATGGACAAAAATTTGGGCACCATAAAGACTAAAAGCTTCAAAAATACCTTAGCGTTCATTTACTTAAAGCAGTATTGTAGCGACAGGAACAGGGCACTGAGCAGGATCTCTGATCCAGCAGACTGGGTAAAGGAGGAATCAGAGTCCTCAGTGGTTTTTTGCAGGTCTTTTATTTAGATTTACCAGGCATATGGCAGGCAGGGGTGCTGAGGGGCCGGGAGGCTGGCATTCCTCCCAGCCCCCAGCAAATCTTCACTCTATCTGGGCGCTCTCTGGCATTCTCTCTGCTTCTCTTCTTCTTTTGGTTTCAGTTCGTTCTTGGCTTCTGCTGGCGTCCCCACGACGCCGCCCTTAAAAGCCCAGTGTCAGCCCAGGTGAATCCACTTCAGGTGCCCACCATCAGGCATGCATTCAGGACCACAGGGTTCCCTCATCTATCCTGATGGCGGGAGGGCAGAAAAGCCTGACATTTTTTCCTTACCCTACAAGTATCTATCATCAAAAGTTTAACATCAGTTTCGACAATTTTCTATCATGTAGTTTTACCAAATAAATTTTTACAGCCCCCAAATAAATTTAAATCTATTAATGCTTCTTTAAAAATGATAAACTCTACTCTTCTTTTTAAAGTCCATAGCTGGTGATAGTATTCTTTCATGTGTCCTCTTTATTCCATGATTTAGTCCTTGATTGTCCCTGTCATGGGACCAAAGCTCAGAGCTTTTACCAGGCTTTTGGTTAGATAGTGACTTGTGACATTTCAAGAAGATGTTCCACTCCTGACATAGTGCTACACAAACCTGACCCTCCTGGTAGCAGACTCAGAAGGCTGCTTTTCCTCTTCCTATAACTGGATTGCTGTGGACATTTGGAGCTCTCTCTCTTCAACTCTCTATCTCCATAGTTAAGGGATAGTGTGTATGAGCTGGGTTCTTGGGTTAGAACTGAGTTCATGTCACAGTGCTGGCACCCAAACCTCTGTGACCATATGGAATTACTCCATCATCTGTAAAATGGGAATAATGATACTTCATGGGTGTTGCTATGAGCAAGAGTTAGAGAGTGCTTAATATCTGGCATTAGTGCTAAATAACTGTTAGTTTCTCAGCTGCAACACTATTGACATTTTGAGCCAGATAATTTTCTGTTGTGGGGCTGTCCTTTGCATTGTAGGGTATTTAGCATCATCCTTAACACGTTGCCACTAACAACCCCTCCCCCCAAGTTTTTTTGTTTTTTTTTTTAAGATTTATTTATTTATTTATAGAAGCACTGGGTACAGTCAGAAGTGCAGGAGGGTGAGAGAATTCACCAGAGCCAGAGCGGGGAGCAGAACAGGCAGAAAGACTGAAGTGCACTGCTGAGGGGAGCAGCAGGCAGCAGGAGAGGTCTGCGCGCCATGTGGGACCCTCGCTGGTGGCTGGGGATCGATCAGGCGCTGCAGAGGCTGCAGGCAGCTTCGCAACTCAGCGCTCAACCGCTGCGCCACTGGGGAGGCCCTCCCCCCAAGTTTTTACAACCATCAATGTCTTCAGACATGCCAAATGTCCCCCTGAAAAAAAGCTCTATAAATGTAGTAATTAC